TTTTTTTAATGTGAAACACCTCTAGAAAATCTAATTCACCAATGGAAGATGTTTTTTGAATAATTTTGGCTGCAGAAAAATGGAAAGTGTGATTTTCGGACCAAAAATGTTGGAAAACAGAAGACTTCAGTGTTTCCTTTTTTTTAACATATGCCTCCTGTTCCTTAACTCGAAATTTTAATGCTGTCTTAGTTTGACCAATGTATATTAAACCACACTGACAAGGAAGCTTGTAAATGCCCCAGAAATTCCTATCCGGAATGGAGTCCTTAAGTATGGAACTCGGAATTTTATTGATAGGAGAATAAACTACCCGAAAGTGAAATTTCTGTAAAATAAGTGCAATTTTATAGCTAATTGATGGAAAGAAAGGAATGCCAACATAATTCTTATAATCTCCTAAAACTAGGGTGTGCTTTTTGGTGTGTTGAGAGGAGAATTTTTTAACTGCTTGGTTAATAATGTTGGATGAAAAGCCCCTATCAATAGCTACTGCTCTTAAATAATTTAGTTCTTGATCAAGAGCCAATTCGGAGGAGCAAACTTGAAGTGCACGGAAAACTTCGTCAGTATTCCTTGCATCGTTTCTTCATACTGTTGACACCTTTTACAGGCCGACGATATTTCCTGCGGGCATTCTGCTCAGTATGCACTCTCATGGCATGCACTTATGCCCTTTCCTAATCTCTGCTGTCAGCTATCCAAACTATTGTGTGTCCTTTAATAGCTTCCAGAAAATATTCGATGCAATATGTATTTCCATTTTTCCTTCCACAATCTGGAAATGCCAGCCGAGTCAACTTTACAGGTTTTGTCCTTATTTCTTAAAAGTTCTTTTTGTTGCTGAGTCTTTAGCTGCAATGACAGATAATATTTGAGAAATATTCTTCAAATCATAATTCTAAACCATTTACTAAAGCCTCATTACCTGATCATTTTCATGAATTTTTTGTAATAAAGCAACAGGTTTTCTTTATAAAGTAGCAGACATATATAAGGTTTTGGAAATGGAGTCATTGGTTTGCCTGTGAAATCATTTCATGCTGCATTTCGTACACATCCTTTGACGATTTCCCCCTCATATCACAAATGGACAAAGAAACTGAGTTGGGTTGTTTTTCAGAGATAGACAAATTAGTGTATCAGCCACGGATGCTGATTTGGGACTCCGTTCATAGGCTTAGCCGAATTTGAGAAATTTATAGTCTGTATTTTTTCTCGAACCCCTCATTAACCATATAAAGTTCTTGATTAATATTCTTTAATGTTATTGATTTTGCATTCTCTAACTAGTTTTCAAATTACATTTATATAGCAGCTATTTCGTTGTTCACAGCACCATCCACATTTTTTCTTCAGCAATGGCAATAATTTCTTCAAAGAGTGATATTTCAAGGAGGGTTATTTTCACATTCGTTTCGATAGAATTCTTCGTCGCAAGGACATTTACTTCAATTTTATTCTTCATCTGGACGGTATTAGTGTTGCTTGTTCCTAACTGACAGGAAACATTTCCAGAACAGTGGAGTAGCGAGCATAACTGGCGCCGGCGGCAAAATACCATTTTTGGCGCCCCCGCGGAAAAAAAAAAACACAGTTATATGATGGAAATCTTGTTTAGAGACCATTTGGTGCCCCTCTGTGAGCGGCGCCCAGGGCATCATACACGCCCTTGCTCCCACTCGCTACGCCACTGTTCCAGAATAGCTTCCAATTGCGTTTTCATCTTCTACGTTACAGGCAATCAAAAAGATCCACAAAAAGATCAGTGGCTATGGCCTACGAGCTCGTGATGATCTCTCTAGCAACTCTTTCAGATGGTAAGAAGACATAGACAAGTTACTGAAATAAATGGATAGCTCAAAACAAAGTAAACAACTGTAAATAGCCCAAGAAAACCAAAAGAGATTAATTAAGTTCCGCTAAATAAGCAAAGAATATCATAGGTCACTGCTATCACTCTAAAAAATTCTAAAATAGTAATTTCTTCGCACACTTCTGAATTGATTCATTCCTCTAGTAAAGTGACTTACTTCCACGGCTGAAAAGCAGCCATGTATATAGAATTTACGGAATTCAGGAAATTTCAGTGAAAATCAGTTTTTGGGCTTAAAAAAAAGCGTGTTTCTTGGAAACTTCCAAAAAGTCACCAGAATTGGCTTTATGTTCGGCCAGGAGACTTTTTCTTCATATCTCCTCCTCTGATTCAGCGTTTTTTTGCAATTCAAGTATTGATCAATTCAGAATAACCTGACATGTGCACGAAATAACAAGATCTATGCACAAAATATATATTTATATTTAAGTGGCCACAAGTTCGATTAAATAAAAATTCACGCTAAAACTACTATATTGCACAAAATCAGCAAATAAATAAATGAAAAAAAAATGAATTTTAAACTGATTAAGCTCAATAAAAATAATAATAAAAAAAAAAGAATTCTTCTTGTAGAATTAAAAATTAATAATCTGAAAATGAACATTGAATTACTTAGATTATAAATCCTTAAAAAGTGACAGTCTGAGTTCAAGTGAAGTAATAATTCTCCTCAGTTCATTCATTAGAAATGTATTTCTCAAAAGAGCGAAATATAATCAAATGAGGATAAATATATGCCTATATTTACAACAGCATATTTTGTAACATGAGATGACACTTACAAATTCTTCGATTAAATAGGATAAATACCTGAGTTTTATTTTAGATATCTGTAAGGACATCTGGAAACTCCTTTAGCCTGGATATTTCTTAAAAATAAGAGTGTTCAATATTCATTTAGAATTCGAGCGGTTATTAAGATCCATTTCCATATGTTGTCTTTCTGAGGATCCAATGGAGTATAATCATAAACTTATCGTATTTCGGTCTCAAGATGAAACATTCTTTCTCTGAGAGAGTAATTTCTTTTTTAAGGCTTTGGTTTCCATTTGTATTTGTATTAGAATATAGGGATATCCTTTATATGATGATGTATATGGACTTCCGGGTAAACCATTTCCAGTGAACGTTTTATGATTCTGTCCGGACTTTTGTCAATGAAGTGAGATTCTCGGCCAATCACCAGTTACACTTCAAATTACTAAGAAGATTAAACACAACGCAATGCGAAACGCATCTAATGGGCGAAGCTAACCCAGAGATATTTCAATACTCCGAACTCAACACTGAACTAACGACTGAGAGCAGATACTATCTCCGGTCATATATAGTTTTCACCTGGCCGTCGAGACATTTTCTAGTACATTCTGCTTCTCGAAATTCCTGGGAGGTATATGAGACTTCCAGGAGGCAACTGTATTCCTGGAAGGTATACAGTTGCATATGAAATCAATTACAGTTATTCGATTACAATACTTTTACGGTGATACAGGGACCATAATAAAATGTCGCCAAATGGTGACTGAATTTGGAGATGTTTGGCGATTTCGTGCCAAATTTGGCGACAAAAACTAATTTTCAAACAAACTGAAAGCTTGGCGATATTTCACTAAATTAGCGAAATAGCCATTTACTCAAAGTTAAATAATCTAAATCAAAGTTAAATAATCCCGGGCAGTACACTCTCTGGACAGGAAGCCACACTTACAACTAAAGAAAGTATGTGCATACTAAAACAATCATTTCAATGAGTAACAAATCAGCTACTAAACCAATAAATAAATGCATAAATTTACATTAATGCAATTTATGTCAATTAGTGACATTTTGTTCTGTTCCTTATATCACCGTAATAGTATTGTAATTGAATAACTGTAATTGATTTCATATGCAACTGTAACCGTATCCGGCCTCATATGCCTTTCAAATAATACGTTCATTAGCTCCTTTTTTTGCAATTTCATTGAAATCGATTGAAGCAAGTGCATTGCATGCTCCAACAAAATTTGCTCCATTATCAGTATAAATTATGGATGGCTTCCCACGTCTAGCAGAAAAACGATGAAACGCTTGTAGAAATGTATCTGTCGTTAAGGATGTAACCAGTTCCAAATGAACACAACGGTACACTGCGCAAGTGAATAGGCAAATCCATGCCTTCTTGTAGTCTCTTAGGAAATATATGGTCCAGCATAATCTATGCCGGTTATTTGAAACACTGAGGCATCCTGTACCCGATCTCTAGGAAGTGGTGGCGCTGGTGGGTTAACAGGAAGTTGGGTTAGCATTTTTGTTTGAATAACGCTTACAGGGTTATAAAAGGTTTTCAAAAACGGATGACACAACTCTTCTTCCCGCTAATATCCAAAATCTTTCTCTTAACGAATTTAGGACGTGAGAAACTCCAACATGTCCTTTCAACTTATGTTCTTCCATTATTAAACTTCTTATAAGAGGATGATCACTTGGCAAAATAGCAGGGGTTCTGAACTCAGATGTATCTTCTCTTTGAAATATCGTTGTTTTAGTTCTGATGATACCACAATCAATGAATGGATTAAGACTTAAAATCCTTTTATCTTCTATTCCATTAAAGGACTCATTTTGTATTAAACGAATCAAGATATTCTCTGCTTCATTTAACTCAGGTACAGTAAGTTCATTCTTTTCCTTGTTTTGATGTTTACAGTTGTAAACAAAACGACACATCCACGCTATCAGTCTGATTGTCTTACAATAACTTGAGAATCTAGTAGCAACAATTTCACTAGCATTAAGATTTATAAAGGACAAAATAATCCTTTTCTTTTTCTCAAAAGCTATTTCTTCTTTATCAGCACTTCATCAAAAGTCTTCTTTTGGCCATTTTTCTCGTGATAAATATAGCCATTTAGGGCCTTCCCACCATCTAGATTTAATTAAATAAGAAGCAGAGCATCCTCTACTGGGCAAATCGGTAGGATTCAATGATCCTGGTACGTGCCTCCAAGATTCAATAGAAGTCAGTCGCTTTATTTCCTTAATTCTGTTGTGAACAAATACGTCCCATACTTCATTTCTCTGTATCCAAGCTAGCACAGTAGACGAATCCGTCCAAAAATAAATATCATAAGCTTGAAATTCAGGTATTATGCTGGATGCTAAACGTGTACATATTGTAGCTCCAAGAAGTTGTCCTTTTTCTTCCGCTGGGTGCAGCTCTCGCTTTAGCTTGCACCAAATGAACTTGAACTGAATCTCTTGTTTGTACTCGAACAAAGGCCACAACTGAATATGCAAGTTTACTCACATCACTGAAGAAATGAAGTGAGATATTTTCAATCTCACAATCACAGTTTAACCATCTTGGTATTCTCATTCTTTCCAAATACTGCAAATCATTCAACCATTTACAAAATTGTGATTTTGAATTTGAATCAACTTTTTGGTCCCAAGATAACTTAACTTCCCATAAGTGCTGAAGTAAAAGTTTCGGCACAAGAGTTACGGGGCAAGCTATTCCTAAAAGGTTGAATATTTTGTGTGTAGTAGCTAAAATCTCTCTTTTAGACAAAATTTCTGGTAGATTGTAGGTGATGTTAGTAATATTAAGGCAAAGGTAATCTCCACATCGTTCCCAAATCATTCCTAATACATTTGTGGTACTAGAGGAATTATCTGTTGGGTCACTACATTCCCAACCACGTAATTCTAGCTTTCTTGTAGCTAAAGTATCTGAAGCAACTTGTATGAATTGTTGCAATTCTAAATCATTTTTCACACTCGCTAAACAATTATCTACATAAAAGCTCTACTTCAATTGCTCAATAATATCCAATTTATACTTTGGGTTTCCATTTAGTTGTTTCAAAGTGGATTCTAGAAGATGTTGAATTACAGAAACTAGCAAGAAAGGGCTACTTGTGACTCCAAATACTACCCTATAATGCCTGTAATATTTCAGTTTTCCATCAGTTCTATACCATAAGAATCTTAGATAGTCTTTATCCTTAGGGTTGAGACTTATTTGTAAGAATGCTTTTCGTATATCTGCAGAAACTCCTATTCTGTTCATTCGGAATCTATGAAGAATTGAAGGAATCAGTTCGATAAGGTTTTGACCTTTTTCTAAACAATCATTGAGACTAGGGGATCCTTTTTGTTTGTCCGAGGCATCAAACACTGGCCTGATTCGTGTAGTACTGTTTTCTTTTACTACATATCGATGTGGTTAGATAATGGCATGTTACATCAATTTCGCTTTTTGGTACTTTTTCTATGACGCCTTTTTGTTCCCATTCACTAAAATCTTCTCCATAAGCATCATAAAGTTTCTCAGCTTTTAGTCGTTTTACTGTAGAAGCTAATCTCTCTACAGCTAAGTCATAGTTATCTTTTAACATAGAGGGTTATCAAGCCATGGCAAGCTGACTTGAAAACGTCCCTCTTCGTTCACCTTTACAGTAGACAAGAAATGATCTCTTGCTTCTTCTTGAAGTTCTAGTTTACTTTTCTTCTCTGATGGATCTAGAATTCCAAGTGAATCTAGAGACCATAGATCGGATATCAATATTTCCTTATTCAACATGGATGTGACGAACAGTGCGGAATTGTCCGAGATCTCACGCATACCATTTTTCCCAAAAAGAGTCCAATTAAGTTTTGTTTCTATAGCAGCAAGGCCTGAAGTAAGCAATTTAAATCCTCCGGTCATCAACTTGCCTGCAATGTCAGCGCCAATAAGTATTTCTATTGGTCCATTACTATCGTCGAATGCGGAAATATTGTACTCTTTAAGCTCTCAAATCCACTCGCCATTAGCAACTGGTGGTATACTTCCACAAATAATATCTTGGCTAAGAGCTTTAAAGTTACAATGATAACTTCCATCCGTTTTAGACAAGAACACTGTAAAAACATCGTGGTTTATGACATCAGTACAAGACCCGCCAAATAATGAATGGCTCAATCTTTCTTTAGATGTACTCTCAAATTTCATTTCATCTGCAGTGCTTTTTAAAATATAAGATCTTTGTGAAGCTGAATAGATAATAGCTCGGGCCTGGAGCTTTCTATCTCGCCTTTTCAATGTAACCGTTAAAGTTTGCAAAAACACATTTGTTGTTCTCGCCAAATAGGCGAGGGTTTCATCTCGTTCAGGTACTGCATCCGTATTTTCATCCTTATTCATGCTAACAGGAACTAGAGATTTTGATTCAGCTTGGATATCTCTACATCAATGCATGTGGTGTTTCCCACAAATCACACACGATGTTCGTTTTTTACATTTAGCTATTACATGTTTTCTGTCTAAACATAAAAAGCAACGGCGACTATTTAGAACTGCTTTTTGCCTTTCCTCAGACGTCATCTTTCTTGCTTTAACGCAATCACCAGATGCACGATTTCCAGCACAAAAAACACATTCAGTTGAATTTTGTTCAGATGTTGCTATTAGAGTAGAAGCAGGTGTTTTGGAAAATTCTCCACGGTTTTTGAAACCAAAGTGTTTACCATTCCAAGGCTTAGGTGTCTGATATTTAGTAAAGCACTGAGTAGCTATAGATACTCTCTCTTCACCTTCAATTTCATTAGCAAAAATGAAAGCAAACCATCTAAATCCATGCGATGTGTTGACGCATTTTTCTCTTTTCGCTCACTACTTTCAGATTCTATCTGACTGCAATTAATAACTCGGAATCTTTGCCATGCTCTTAATGTATCATCCGGCAATGGTGATTCGACTAGAGGATATAACATCGCCGCGTATTTATCTCTAGCAACACCCAGAACTTCTAACGCTCTAAGTTTCGATTCTAGGTTATAGAGTTTTCGTAATGAAAATTTCTGCTGAGAGATTTTTAATAATACTAACGAAAGTAGATCTCTAACATAGACCTCTTCTTTCCCAAAACGCGATTGCAGTTGTTCTAAAGATTTACTATAACTTTCACCACAGGGCGGAAAGCTTTTGATTAACTCTTCAGCAGATGACCCTTTTTCCATAGACTGCAATAAATATGCAAATTTATCATGATCATCTAAATTGGGATCATTATCGATCTTTTTAAACTGGCCCCAAAATCCTAACCAACTTTTAATATTCCCATCAAAAATCGGAAGTTTAAGCTTAGGATAACGAATAGTAGCATTTTGAGTTAAGCTCTCATTAACAACAGAACCGTTTTCCTTTTCAGCTAAAAGCGAAACTAATTTACTTTCTACCATTCTCCACTTATCAATATAGCATTCTGACTCATCAAACTCGTTATTTATCACAGTTTCATCTTTTTCAATTTTAATCAATTCTTCTTTATAAGTCTGTTCTATTTCAATCATAGGTTTCGCTTTGTCCTCAACAAATTTAAATTTCGAAATTTTTCCGTCTAAAGATAAATCATTTTCATTCTTCTCAAAATCATTTAAAGCTTTTTTAAACAATCTCCTAAATTGAGATCGTTTGCACTTCAAAACATCCATTATAAATAAACGAAAGAATTCTTACAGATAACAGTCCAGTCAGCGGACGCGAAATATTCAAAAATTCTCAACAAATGTGTTACCTCAAGAACTATTTATTATTCGGAAATAACTATCTATATCTCTTTAGTTATTTATGACTCTACAATAATTAAATAATTCCTTTATTCATACTCTCAAACGAGGGAAAAAAGTTACACTAACTCTCTAAAAAGAAGAACATCATAGTATGTTGCCATTCTCTGAAACATAAACTGTTACAAAACATAGTTAATAATAATATGAATAGATAATGAATAAAAAAAACCTATAGAATAAAGGAAACGATTACATCTGCTTGAACCTCGTGCAATATTACTCAGAAGCTGCAGTTAGAAAAAAAATATAAACAAAAATATTAGAGTCAAAATATTGTTCATCATTATCCCGTATCGGAAATTTCTATTTTCGACTATGGATACAGGACTTAAAATACTATTCTTACTGGTATTGTGATATCGTCTTGAGATATTATTGGTCGAACGGATTTAACTTCTGCATCTTTAATTCGGATCATGGTTGCGTCCTCAGATGCAGAATGCAGTTGGTAATTCTTGAAGTCCAAAGACAAACTGTATTTTCTCAGGAAGTTTAATCTGAGTATGCAAGGGTCAGTAATATTTTCTACATATGCCGTGTGATGGTAGACGACACTTCCAGACGTGATGTTAACTTTTAATTTTGCATCGATGTCAATTTTATCCCGGAACACAGTCTGGAAGGTAATGTAGGGCAGCGTACAGATGAGTTAACCTTCCATTTGTTGAGTTAACCTTTTCGGGTGATTGTAAGTATTGCAAAAAACTCCATTGTATATTGCAAAGAACTCCATTTATATGTGTTATGATGACGAATCCATTACTGCCGCCACTTATTGCAGACATCTGAAGCGCTTTAAAGTGGGGCTTTTCATTATCTAGCAACCTCCGCCCCGCAACATGGCTACTAATTAGTTTCCCTCCTTCTTGCTAGCAGCGGTGTTAGCTTCCATGCCTTAAGGTTGCTTTGCAATTCTTTCGTACGTGGCCTTTACTACCGTAGTTCCAACACTTTAGGGTCGGTTTATTGTCACTCCTTTTCCGTCTGCATTGACTTGTTTGGTTAAATCCTCTAGACGAGCAGTAACTTCATCTACTGACTCCTGGACTTGAGCAGCTCTGACTGGTTGGCGATCTCTACGAGTTGCTTACTGGGCTGACTCGAATTTATGGCATGCACTACAGCGCTTTTCATATTCTTGACTTGGCGACTGTTGGCGATTTCAAATTTGAGCTAAATATTATTCACCAAAACCATTGCCAGCTTGGCGATATTTCGCCAAATTACTAGCCATTTATTCAATGTTAATTAATCTTGTTCCCCTGTATTCTTATTTTTCCGGCACAGTTTCCTCGCTCTAGATTTTCATATTATATTATCTGCAGAATACAGTTTCACATAGACTTTCATTAAAATTTTCTGCATATATACAGAATTACGTATCGTATATACATATAAATCATATGTATGTAAATGAACGTCCCCATTTTGAATCTTTTGACTGACTTCCAAATAACCGTTTACATCAGACTATCCAATTCTAAGAACACCAGCTTTTAGGCTTATTTCAAACCTAATATGATCTTAATCTTTTATTGCTATCCAGTTTATGCCTTTTTCTCTAACTTAGGCGGGTTATAATAACCAAAATTTTGCAGTGTTTTGAAATCTTCTTCCCTTCTTTAAAATAAAGTATTCAGTTTTAACTAACAAATCTTATATACTTGTGTACCACGAAATTCTATAGTATTTTACAGAACTACGAAGCTGGCTTACTTTTTAAAGTACATTATTTTTTCTTCTTCATTAAATCGGTTGCCAGTTTGCAAATTACAAAATTCTAAGGTTTAACACTTTTCATCTTCCTCCGTGTTCTCTCACTTATTTAATGAGGATAATTTATTCTGTTGTTACTTTCACAGATATAATAATACTAAGATATAATAATACTACATTCATTTTTTCGAGCATACACTTTTTATTCCAACAAATGTCTATAGCGGTTGCCACATCACGAAAACGCTATTTTTATATTTAAGAACAACTTTTCACTATTATATTTCAACTAAAATTATTTATTACTTTTAAGATATCATTCTGCTAAAAGAACATTACTATTCTAAAACATGTTATTACTTTTACCGTTGCCAATCCGTTCTGGATAAAGTTGTAAAAATAAAAAGATTAGGTATAGTTCTTAGAGGTTACATTTCAGTGGCATCAGCCATGAAAGTGGCAAGAAGTGCTCTGATATCTGTTTAATCTGCAATTTATGTTACTTGCAGTTATCATTCATTATTTTGAATTATTGTTCATGAAGTGAATAATAGGAAATAAAACAAATGAAACTTTGTTTTATTTTCTATTTAATTAGTTTTCTCCGTGTTCAAGTCTTGCGTCGCTTCCGATTATGCCCATGATTTTTAAAAAGAAAACGGAATATGAACGATAGTTTCATTAGTGAAAGTTTAATAATTTATGGAAAAATACTAATGATGTTTTATACCTTTGCCTCTCATTTTTTAAATGTCATAAATATTATGCTGCGTATATTAAAATTTCAAATAGATACGCACATCTAAAATTAATAAAGCGAATTAAATAGGTACGTCCTAATTATCTGCTCCTGGTTTCAACATTCGATAAAACTGCTCTGTTTTTGTTGCATTTTCGAATGTATACCATTAGTATTAAATTAGGTTGGTTTTATTGGTTTATGAGATTAGGGCAAAAGCCTCGAGGGCTATATAAGGGAAGGGATACATTCGTGGAGGACTTTCTAAGGGAAACTGACTTGTATACTCGTTACACATGGGGGAAAGCAACGAAAACGCTTTGCAGTCAGGCCGTTCGCGGGATTCGAACCTCGGACCGAACTAACAGCGGTTAGAGCTAAAAAGTAGTTGAGTTGCTTTCTCTTTTACCTCCAATGTATATAAGAGACGACACTCAAAACACTAGGGCGGGGCTCCACTGTTCACAGTTACGTGTATATTAGGATTTAATACCCCGCCGCTAGAAGTCTATCGGCGATGTAGCGCTTCACACAGCCCGGTTCTAGACTTGACAGTACCCGTACGGTCCCTGCCAAGCCTGAACGGACCAGAGGATGGACCTCTGGTTCTAGTCCTGTGAAGAATGATTATATACCCAAAGAATCGAAGCTGTCAGGACACCAGTCCAGCCAGTGGTCTGGTAGAACCCCTGGTCTCCTCCCATAAATGGTCGGTTCCTGAAATCCACACCAGTCGATACCCTGGGATGGGTGCCCAGCGTCATTCGCCTATACAAGCCAAGGCCTTTACCAAGGCGCCGTATAGTTTCCAGCGGGGCCACGACTGACTTCCAGCGAGGCTGACGCTGAGCTGTGGGAGACGCGAGCAGTGTTGGGCCTGTCGCCATTCCCACAGTCCCTGGCCATCGATCAAACGCCGGATCTCCTGCCTTCCGCCACTACCCAGGACTGTGACCCACGGACAAGATAAAGCCGCCTACAGTGGTTTTCAGCCAGTTCCGGACATCCGACTCCCGGGTCAAGGATCCGGCAGTTCGTTCCTCGGATCAAAAGCCCGGTCTCCTCCTGCTAGGCAGTCGGTTCCGAACATTTGTCCTCGGGAGACGACAGGACAACCGCACATACGAATACTGTACGTGTGCCTTAGTGTATGTAGATTTGCATGCTTTATAGTTAACTGAACAATATCTACCGCTTTTAAAATATAAATATTCGGTAAATATTTTTAATTTTTTTCCTATAAAATTTCTTTCTTTCTTAAAAGTTATTGTATATCTTTTCATGTTTCGGAAACTTTAACAATATAAGATAAAATTCTCGTGGTTTCATCGATGCTCGGCTCAAGCAAACTCGAAGAGTTTTCGCAAAATGGGTCCCCGCGTTATGTCGTTATCCCGGCATAATGCTTCCGACTTTCCATTTCTTGAAGTTTCGAACAGTTTATGAAAGTAACGAAGCAAATAAAAGTTCAGAACAGTGATGAGCTGGGAGAATACAGTGACAGAGTAGGCGCTCAATCCCGGAACGAATTCTATTGTTTGCTGGAAGAGTCCAAGATTTGTAGGTATGGTACGTGAAAGTAGGGATGAGCTAAGAGGAGAAAGGAAAAGGGATTTTGAGTATAGGGAAGTTCAGTCGTTCCGGGATTGAGCGCCTACTATGAACGGGCTCCTGCTTTGTGAGGGTAGCTAGCGTTTCGTGTATTATTTAATATTCTGATTGTCTGCCCTTTTTTTCTACAGTACCTTAAGTAAATAAAAACTTTACAGTTATGTATTATAACTTCATGTAATACTCTGTTACTTTACCATAATAAGAGTTCTAATAAATATTAAATTTCGTTGGAATAAACAGAATTATGTAATTTCGCCAAACGTTATGCCTTTAAGAAAATTTTGGAAGCACTTCCGCAAAGGATCCGTTAAATGTAAACATCGCAAAAAATGGCGATAAAAGTTCAAAGCTGGTAACCTGGCGAATTGGTTTGTCGGAGGTAGCAACCTGGTTCTCTCTTATTAGAGAATGGTCGCCGCTTTTTCAGATGGCCCAGACTTTCCTTTCCCCATCGATGACGAATAGCTGATAGTTTTGTACTTTGTAATCGATTACGAAGTCTCGATACGGAAGTGTCTACAAGTACGACGTACGATAGCTCAAACATGGTAAAAATCAAGGAGGTTAGAATAGAAGGAGGGAAGGTTCAACTCAAACGGTGAGGCTTGGCGGCCATGTTCCTGTTATCGCTGTGACTTGTGCAAGGAAGTCT